GACAGTAGGCTACAATGAATTTTAAATTGTCACTTATAATACGCCATAAGACGACTTATATGTTTTGATTTATTCTCTGTTTCATGAGCTCATAGTCCATGCTAAGTGTATTGTTTTTCAACGTAGATATGCTCATATTGTCCCTACACTAGTCTATAGTATACTAAAAATATACAAAACCATGCTCGGACCCGGTTCCATGAGGGGGCAAAAAGGGGCTTAGCCCCCTCAATTAAATCTTGTGCCACCTCAGATTTAGTTTTAAGCAAAAAAGTTCAAATGATTGAGTGACAGGTTGGCGCAAAATATATATCTCTGCTGCGCTTGTCAGCACAATGGACAGAGCTCGCCGAGGTGTGTGTAGGGGGGCTATGGAAAGCCACTGGGGCGGTTAGGTGACTCCTTTGGGTTTCCATAAGAAGCGGGAGAAAAGGCTTCTCATCTGTGTTAGGCTAAGTTAATAATATGATACACCGCTGCCAGTAATATTTTATTTGGATTTATAAGGGCGGGGTCAGGTTTACAGTTGAAGCTGCTTCACTCAACTCTGCCTCATGCCCCACCACTACAGAGTTTAGTTAGCTTCTTAGCTAGCTGTAAAAAGCTTTAATGTTATTAGCCTTAGCCTATTTAGCTAGCGCCAACCAGCTAATCTGCCGCTGCCATGATGGATATTAGAAATTGGCTTTGCCAAAGTACCCAAACAAAGCCAAAGGAGAAGGAGAGCAATGACCAGCAGCAGCAGCATCAAACCACCAAGGCCGCTGCCAAGCCCAGCTGAAAAATATTGCTGGACAAAGTCAACAGAGAAGTGCCATATGTTAAATATTTCAACCACCAGCTTCCCTTATTGGTTGTTCATACAATGTCATCTGAGAATGCGCTGGAGGAATTTTTAATGTCTGTGACTCACTCTACAAGTTCTTAAAGAAACCAACAGTGGCTGCCATGTACACTGGAGAAACCTTGAAATGACTACTGGATCAAAGGTGGAGCGGACACCTGTCTACTGTGTCAGTGGTTAAAAAAAGTTGTGACAGCATTGTGGAGTTCCTATCTGAGATCGATGCACGCGTTCGTACAACACAGAAGGAAGACTCAAGGCTACAGGGCTGATGAAGGTGGTGACGGACCCCGGCTTTAAGTTTACAGCCACCATGGTGCACAAAATCCTCAGTCTTCTCGATCCTCCAAACAAATTACAAAAAAGCAACCGATCTTTACACTGGAGTCAAAGTGGTCTGCAGTGCATTGGAGTGCGTCGAGCTGAGCTGTGACAGCGAGTTCGAAGCCATTTGGGCACAGTGCAGTGCCAGTGGCACTGATGCACCACCAGCTCCAAGCAAACAACAACGTTATATAAGTACAAATCTCCAACAATATGTGGAGGACAGTACAGTAGGCCAGCAGGACAGAGGAGAAGAGACTGAGTCTAAAATATTGTTCTTCAGCACGTTGGATGCTGTCATTGGTGAAATGTCAGAACGATTCAGCGAACGCAACAGCCAACTAGTGGAGGCCCTGTGTGCATTTGACCCAGAGAGCCACGACTTTCTAGATGTGGAAAAAGGTGAAACCACTGCTGAATCTAAGCAACACACATTTGGTGGAAGCTGAGTTTAGTGTCGCTCGCCAGTCTTTGCAGACTGAAATCGTCTGCTCCAAATGGACCCCACTTGATATCCTGCAACGATTCTTTGTGCCTCTCTCCGCTATGCCTGACCATGCTCACTGCACTGAAACATGGATTGACCTTTGGGGGCGTCCACAGCTGCATGCGAAACTAATTTTCCACATTGACAAAAGTGTTCAGTCAGCACAGAAGAAGCATGCTACACCCAAGGAAAGCTCAACTAATGCAACCGGAATTTGAGGGGGATCTTCCAAGAAGATTTCGGGGAGAACGGAATGATCGATTACTCAGGAAGTTCCACAGAGCATCTTCTGAAAAGGTAAGAAACAATATAGCTGGTTGGTTTTTGTATAAGTCTTGCTTTAGTGTGTAGGGCTGTCCATGGTGCTGATAGAGTGCAGCAGAGATTTTGTGCCAACCTGTCACTTCTTGGTCAAAAGCATTTGAACTTCTTTTTATTGTGGTATAGCATGATATAAGCAGAATTCAATATATATCCAATGCAAGAACCCAAATGACGTCCCTGGGTATAGCTACAGTTGAAGTCGGAAGTTTACATACACCTTAGCCAAATACATTTAAACTCAGTTTTTCACAATTCCTGACATTTAATCCTAGTAAGAATTCCCTGATTTAGGTCAGTTAGGATCACCACTTTATTTTAAGAATGTGAAATGTCAGAATAATAGTAGAGAGAATTATTTATTTCAGCTTTTATTTCTTTCATCACATTCCCAGTGGGTCAGAAGTTTACATACACTCAATTAGTATTTGGTAGCATTGCCTTTAAATTGTTTAACTTGGGTCAAACGTTTCGGGTAGCCTTCCACAAGCTTCCCACAATAAGTTTGGTGAATTTTGGCCCATTCCTCCTGACAGAGCTGGTGTAACTGAGTCAGGTTTGTAGGCCTCCTTGCTTGCACACGCTTTTTCAGTTCTGCCCACAAATTTTCTATAGGATTGAGGTCAGGGCTTTGTGATGGCCACTCCAATACCTTGACTTTGTTGTCCTTAAGCCATTTTGCCACAACTTTGGAAGTATGCTTGGGGTCATTGTCCATTTGGAAGACCCATTTGCGACCAAGCTTTACTTCCTGACTGATGTCTTGAGATGTTGCTTCAATCTATCCACATCATTTTCCTTCCTCATGATGCCATCTATTTTGTGAAGTGCACCAGTCCCTCCTGCAGCAAAGCACCCCCACAGCATGATGCTGCCACCCCTTCACGGGTGGAATGTTGTTCTTCGGCTTGCAAGCCACCCCTTTTTTCCTCCAAACATAACGATGGTATAATGGCCAAACAGTTCTATTTTTGTTTTATCAGACCAGAGGACATTTCTCCAAAAAGTACGATCTTTGTCCCCATGTGCAGTTGCAAACCGTAGTCTGGCTTTTTTATGGAGGTTTTGGAGCAGTGGCTTCTTCCTTTCTGAGCGGCCTTTCAGGTTATGTCGATATAGGACTCGTTTTCCTGTGGATATTGATACTTTTGTACCTGTTTCCTCCAGCATCTTCACAAGGTCCTTTGCTGTTGTTCTGGGATTGATTTGCACTTTTCGCACCAAAGTACGTTCATCTGTAGGAGACAGAACGCGTCTCCTTCCTGAGCGGTATGACGGCTGCATGGTCCGATGGTGTTTATACTTGCGTACTATTATTTGTACAGATGAACGTGGTACCTTCAGGTGTTTGGAAATTGCTCCCAAGGATGAACCAGACTTGTGGAGGTCTACATGTCAAGCAAAGAGGCACTGAGTTTGAAAGTAGGCCTTGAAATACATCCACAGGTATACCTCCAATTGACTCAAATGATGTCAATTAGCCTATCAGAAGCTTCTAAAGCCATGACATCATTTTCTGGAATTTTCCAAGCTGTTTAAAGGCACAGTCAACTTAGTGTATGTAAACCTCTGACCCACTGGAATTGGGTACAGTGAATTATAAGTGAAATAATCTGTCTGTAAACAATTGTTGTTAAAATTACTTGTGTCATGCACAATGTAGATGTCCTAATCGACTTGCCAAAACTATATTTTGTTAAAAATAAATTTGTGGAGTGGTGTATGTAAACTTCCGACTTCAACTGTACATATCGGTATGTTTCATCATAGAAATAGATACATTCTATTATGGTTTTCTTGGTAGCCTATTGATTTTCATGGTTGTAAATGGAACTGTAGTATTGGAAACGTGTTTATGGTAGGCTGGCATTGCTTAATTGATTATGTGGGTCAAATTTGATTCACAGAAGTGTATTGTGCCATATCACAAGGTGTTGCTAAACTTATGAGCGGCATGATTTTCCATGTTTGAAGCGGGCCTATAGGCCTATTTATTTGGCAAGACAGCTGTGCATGGCTACATCTCACTGTAGTAGGTTGTAGGCTAGGGTTTGGTTATGTGGACCACCATTTGCCTTTTGTTTACTGCGATTGTTTACTATTAATGTAACTAGCCTAAATATAGATTGTGTCATACCTTTATCAATCTGATATTTTGTTTACTAGGCCTACTACTTGGTACCGCTGTTTTGTTCTGTTGTCATTCAATTGTTCACATTCGCAGTATTCTAAGCCAAACTGCTATTCAGTTTTTTAGTTTGCAAGCAAAAATAACTAAGCTACTACTTTCAGCATTTAGTTAGCATTATTTTTGTAAGACAGCGGTGTGTAAGGCTGCATTCACATAGGCTGTTTGTAATAGGTGAATTACCCTATATATCTTGTAGTCTATATTAATTAATAAAACGGCCTTGCTTTAGTGTGTTAGGGTGCTGTCCATTGTGTAGATACACCACAGCTGAGATAGGCTACAGATTTCGCGCCAACCTGTCACTTCAAAAGCACTCAATGATCTCAGAGTGTCAGCTTTGAACTTTATGTTTATTGTGGTATAACCTGATATAAGCAGAATTCAATATAATTCCAATGCAAGACCCCCACAAGTTGTGCCCGATAGCTGACTTCAACTGTCCCCTTAGTCACTTTATCCTGGCACCTGGTCTGACCATGTTACATGTTTACAATAATACAATATTAAATGATTCACATTAAAACATTTAAAACTTTGACACGGTGTAAGTGGTGCATTCTGTACATATTCAAGAATGAATCCTGCAGTTCAGACTTAGTCCTGCGGGGAAGGAGAGAGCAGCCTTACTGTTAACCTAATGTAGCAGGTGTAAAAGAAACGCTTGAGCGGAGTCCCTACCAGTGGAGGCTGCTGAGCGGAGGACGGCTCACAATAATGGCTGGAATAGAGCGAATGGGATGGCATCGAACACATGGAAACCATGTGTTTGTTGTATTTGATACCATTCCACCTATTCCCCTCCAGCCATTACCACGAGCCCATCCTCCCCAATTAAGGTGCCACCAACCTCCTGTGGTCCCTACATACGTTTTTATGTTGAAGATATTGTGTCCCTGAAAAACGGATGTTAGTGGTTTCTTCTTCTTCTTCGACCCTGCATAGGCTACCTTACTGTAGAAGTAGTGTGTAGGATGAAGCTGGCCATAGACACTGATCTTGGGTCAGTTTTAAATTGTCCCAACTTATTGTTTAGGTTAGGATTGGGGGGAGGGGAAGTTGATCCTAGATCTGTACTTATAGGGGAAACTTCACTCCGGAGCATAGAAATAGAGTGCAGTCTCCTCACTCGAGCTTCTTAACCAGCCTGGCCATCTTTCTGGATTTCTGCTTCTTCAGCTTCTTCTTGAGGAAGAGGAGGTCGATGTAGACGATGTGGCCCAGGACCGTGGAGGCACACAGGAGACCCCCGTGCAACGCTCCTGCTATCCCACAGCTGAACACATCCTGCCCTGGAAAAGGTACAACCACACACACCATATAAGGCAAAGATGGCCTGAAGACATGCAAGCTCCCTCACATACAGTGCATTTACCAGATGCTCTTATTAAGAACGGCTTACAGGAGCAATTGGGGTTCAGTGCCTTGCTCAAGGGCACATCAACAGATTTTTTTTCACCTAGTCAGCTTGGGGATTCAAACCAGCGACCTTTCAGTTACTGGCCCAACGCTCTTAACCACTAGGCTACCTGCTGCCCAGTACATTCAAAAAAAAATCTAACAAGAGTTTGTAACTGTAAATAGTCTTCACAAAATGTGACTATATAGCTCATACAAAATAGACTTTACGGCTAATGCACATTTCGTCTCCCTTTATAAATGATTTCATCTTTAAGAGAAGCATTAGAGGAGAAGTTCCAGGAGTGTTACCTGAGATGAAGAGGTTTTTGACAGGGGTGGAGCAGCGGTTCCTGGCCACAGCCTCAGCATGGAAGCGGTCCAGGTTGTGCTCAGCAGAGTACATAGCCCCACGCTGGGCTCCCAGGTAGTGCATGTTAGTCAGGGGGGTCGCAACGTCCTGGAACACCAACTGGAAACAGACAGAGCATAGAGACGTTATCAATTAACATGGATTAACCACTAAAAAGCCCCAAACACAGACAGACACAGAGAGAGACACAATATACACTCTTGTATGTTAATTGAAAAAAATTGTTCATACCTTTTCCCTCAGCTTGGGGAATAGGGTGCATGCCCAGTCAAAGAGATTGTTTGCGAATTTCATTTTGTAGTTGGTGTAGTCATCTCCCCTTTTTCTTACTGAGGTTTCTGTCCATTCCTCAAACCACTCGTATTTCACCATGGTCAATATCGTCATGCATGATTTCCCTGGAAATGTAACATGGTAAACAGCCGACACGTCTGCAGCGTAGTTGTGGCACAAAGAAGTACACGCCCTTTGACTACATTATCTTTGATATTCATTGGTACAGTATCCTACCTGGGTGTCTCGTCTTGGCTGTAGGATCTTTGGCAGAGGGGAAGGTGATGAACATCATAGGGATGTTATCAGGTGCGTCCTCTTTACTCATGGCAAAGAACCCTTCCATCCTACACAAAACAACAAGGCTGTAAACATCTGAAAAATGCTGGAGTGATGATGCATCAATTAAACTAATCTCCATATACAACTGTAGGCTATGTAGTGATGCCATAGTAACTGCTTGTACTTATTGTTTATGCAGCAGCGCCACCTTCTGAGTACAGATGGCGATATCATCTCATTTCAATGTTGAAAGAGGATTCGGTGCCTGGTACTTACGAGCCATCCATATCATTATTTTTGTAGAGCCAGAAGTTGGTGGAGACAATACCCAGCTCCTCTTGGGTTCCATCAAAGCCAGAGAAGACCAATAATGATCCTCTGCCGTGTTTCATCATGTCCAAACGTTCCTGGATGTCTGTTAGGAATAAAAGTGTTTTACCATCAACCCATAGCAATACTTTACAGTAGTAAGATAGAACATCATAAGGCAACACATATTGACTGATCAATCAATCAATTGATTGAAATCCTACATGCTGTTAGTTTGTCAGTGTGACTCACCTGGCTTGGTCTGGATCTCAGGGGGCAGTAGTTTCTGGAAGGTGGTGAACAGACCGCAGTTGGAGATGATCACAGGAGCATGTACCTCCACCTCCTCCTGTCCCTTGTTCACCTTTACACCTGGCAATGGAAACAAACAGGAGCAGACTCAGAAAGACATTGTATGCCTTTGAAATATCAACATGATCTCATCATGGAAATATATTTAATTATTAGAAATAGGACAAGTTTCTTTAAGTCCTCATAATTCTTGCATTCGGAAATAAGCGATGGGACACTTACTCTCCTAGCACACAAGGGGAGACTGTGTGGACTGTGCATGTAATTTGTCTTTGGGCTGTTATTATAGAGTTTTCACATCTGTCCTATGTTTCAGGGACTGAATCAATACAATAGGACTCTGTTTGTCCATTGTGAAATGGATATGGACCATATCGGGATTGTCAGCATTTGTTAAAAAAATATATTTTTGGACTTTTATTTATTTAGGGAAGCCCAATTGAGACCAGAGTCTCATTCACAATGGCGCCCTGAGTACAAACATATTCACAATCAAGAAAATGACCATTCCAAATAAAACAAGAAAAAAGAAACTACAAAGGTACAATTACAATACTACAATTTCAGGAACTAAACCATTACAATCAATCAAAACAACTGCAATCCTCAATTAATTCATTTAACACCAGAGTCCTAAACTGCCCTAGCGGCACCAGGGAATCAAGATGCAAGGAATTTTGCAGGTGGGGGGCACTAAAAGACCAGAGGGACCTCAAGAGTTAACCAACCCTGCGAGCGAGTTTGGTAGCTCATTCTTTTATACTTTAGCAATGAAGGTAAGTTGGAAGCTTGTGTAGTAGAGCTTTGTAAACCAAAAGGAAGTAATTAAGTTATCTACGGGACTTCAATGAGGACCAGCCAACCTTTTGATACAGGGTGCAGTGGTGAGTATTAAAACTTGTCCATCGTGAAACGGATATGGACGATATCTGGATTCTCACCATATGCAGCCCCGTCCTTGTTGACCAGGATCTGAGTGACAGGTGCTCTGACCAGGACGTTGCCTCCAGACTTCTGGATGACAGGGATGATGTGGTAGGAGATCTCACTGGCTCCTCCTTTAGGGTAGTACGCTCCTCTCTTGTAGTGGTGCAACAAAAGAGCATTGATAACAACACTGGAGTCCTTGGGGGGAACACCTGAGGGGAAAAAAACAGAAAAGAAACGATTAGCTACCTCAGTTCTATTTCATGAATTATGGCAGATATTCCCTGGTTGCCATAGTCCAGTTGTGGCTCAGTTTGTCTTAGGCTCTTTCCGAGCATAGAATATAATACTGAGGGCCTCCCGAGTGGCACAGCGGTCTAAGGCACTACATCGCAGTGCTAGAGGTGTCACTACAGACCCGGGTTCGATCCCAGGCTGTATCACAACCGGCCGTGATTGGGAGTCCCATAGGGCGGCGCAAAATTGGCCCAGCATCGTCCGGGTTAGGGGAGGGTTTGGCCGGAGGGGCTTTACTTGGTTTATCGCGCTCTAGCGACTCCTTGTGGCGGGCCGAGCGACTGCAGGCTGACCTCGGTCATCAGTTGAACTGTGTTTCTTCTGACACATTGGTGCGGCTGGCTTCCGGGTTAAGCGGGCGGGTGTTAAGAAGCGCGGTTTGCTGGGTCATGTTTCGGAGGACGCATGACTCAAACTTTGCCTCCCGAGCCTGTTGGGGAGTTGCAGCAATGAGACAAGATTGAAATTGGGGAGAAAAAGGGTGTAAAACACACACACAAAAAATATACAGTACCAGTCAAAAGTTTGGACACACCTACTCATTCAAGGGTTTTTCTTTATTTTTACTATTTTCTACATTGTAGAATAATAGTGAAAACATCAAAACTATGAAATAACACATATGGAATCATGTAGTAACCAAAAAGTGTTAAACAAATCAAAATATATTTTAGAGTTTAGATTCTTCAAAGTAGCCACCCTTTGCCTTGATGACAGCTTTGCACACTCTTGGCATTCTCTCAACCAGCTTCATGAGGTAGTCACCTGGAATGGATTTCAATTAACAGGTGTGCCTAGTTAAAAGTTTATTTGTGGAATTTCTTTCCTTCGTAATGCGTTTGAGCCAATCAGTTATGTTGTGACAAAGTAGGGGTGGTATACAGAAGATAGCCCTATTTGGTAAAAGACCAAGTCCATATTATGGCAAGAACAGCTCAAATAAGCAAAGAGAAACGACAGTCCATCATTACTTTAAGACATGAAGGTCAGTCAATCCAGAACATTTCAAGAATTTTGAAAGTTTCTTCAAGTGCAGTCGCAAAAACCATCAAGCGCTATGATGAAACTGGCTCTCCGAAGGACCGCCACAGGAAAGGAAGACCCAGCGTTACCTCTGCTGCAGAGGATAAGTTCATTAGAGTCAACTGAACCTCAGATTGCAGCCCAAATAAATGCTTCACAGAGTTCAAGTAACAGACACATCTCAACATCAACTGTTCAGAGGAGACTGCGTGAATCAGGCCTTCATGGTCAAATTGCTGCAAAGAAACCACTACTAAAGGACACCAATAAGAAGAAGAGACTTGCTTGGGCCAAGAAACACGAGCAATGGACATTAGACCGGTGGAAATCAGACCATTGGTCTGATGAGTCCAAATTTGAGATTTCTGGTTCTGACCGCAGTGTCTTTGTGAGACGCAGAGTAGGTGAACGGATGATCTCCGCATGTGTGGTTCCCACCATGAAGCACGGAGGAAGAGGTGTTATGGTGTGGGGATGCTTTGCTTATGACACTGTCTGTGATTTATTTAGAATTCAAAGCACACTTAACCAGCATGGCTACCACAGCATTCTGCAGCGATACGCCATCCCATCTGGTTTGCGCTTAGTGGGACTATCATTTGTTTTTCAACAGGACAATGACCCAAAACACACCTCCAGGCTGTGTAAAGGCTATTTGACCAAGGAGAGTGATGGAATGCTGCATCAGATGACCTGGCCTCCACAATCACCCGACCTCAACCCAATTGAGATGGTTTGGGATGAGTTGGACCGGAGAGTGAAGGAAAAGCAGCCAACAAGTGCTCAGCATATGTGAGAACTCCTTCAAGACTGTTGGAAAAGCATTCCTCATGAAGCTGGTTGAGAGAATGCCAAGTGTGTGCAAAGCTGTCATCAAGGCAAAGTGTGGCTACTTTTTGGTTACTACATGATTCCATATGTGTTATTTCATAGTTTTGATGTCTTCACTATTATTCTACAATGTACAAAAATAGTAAAAAATTAAGAAAAACACTTGAATGAGTAGGTGTGTCCAAACTTTTGACTGGTACTGTGTATACATATATAATACTGAATATATAGAATAATACTGAAATAATATAATGGAATGGAATAGAATAGTATAGTTTAGTATAGAATACAATACAATAGAATCTAGAATGTTAAGACCACGTACCGTAGAATAGGTAGCTGAAGATGATGTGAAGGTCCTTGTTGGTGGTCAAGGTGCTCACCAGGTCTGTAGCTCCAGTCCCAGAGAGGGTAAAGATGGAGGAGCAGAGGTTGGTGATCCTGGACTTCAGCAAGAACAGAGCCAGCCACTGGGGGATCAGCTTCAGAGAGGCCAGGTAGTGGGTCTTCTTGGCTGACACCTGGCATGATATAAAAGGACATTTGAGGTAAAAACACCAGTTATTATACTTTAGTGAAGTCAGAGGGTAGTCCCAACCAGGGCTTGAACCTATGACCTTGGAACTGTCAACCAAACACCTCAGCTGTTACACAAAGAGATCCAAATCTCTTGATAAGGTCGCTAGGTGATGGGTTGAGGTGACTACAATACTGTTGATACTCATTTGATCACTTCAGTGTTCTCATTACCAACAAAGCCCTGAGCTGAAAAAAATAAAGTACCTTCATGATATTGAAAAAAGTTTCAATGGCAGTGACGTCGTCTGGAAACTGATTCTTCAGGTGAGCCTCCATCTCTGTCTTGCCAGCGAAGATGGTGTACTCGCGTTTGTCCTCTCCCTCACCAATCTGGATGGTGTCAAAGTGCTGGTCCAGCTCCACAAACTCCAACTGGCCCTCGGTGATCTGGTCGAACGCAATACGCAGCAGACTGTTCTCATGGAGCTGGCCGATGTAGTGGAGACCTGGATGGGACAATGGGGACAAATCATGCTTCAATAAGATGTTACATCAGGTCACAAAGCCATTGACTGGCAAAAACATAAACCCGCCAATTTCTACAATTCATCTTCTTAAAGATTTTAAACCTTACCTTAACCACATTGCTAAGCAAGCATGTGCCTAACCCTAACCTTAAATTAAGACCAATGTACATTTTTATGATATAGCCAATTTTGACTTTGCCACTTGCCCATCTAATGAGAAACCATTGACTATGCATGAGGATAATGTACTACCCTAACCTTTAGAGAAACAAGCAGGCCCTTCTTCTCAACACAGCTTCTTGTTTGTGAATTAATTACATTTAGATGGCATTTGTGCTAATTTCAAATGTGTTCACTCCAAAGTAATGCATGATACATTGAATACTTGGAATAAGTCATAGTAAACTTTCTATGACATGTGGTCTATTAAATACAAGTTATCAGTGTAAGAATCCCACAACAATGACCGTAGCCCAGCTCAGTTAATCCCTACCATTGTGTCGCTGAGTTGTCATAATGATTCAGCAAATGTACATTATCCCATGGGCGTTGGTAGACAAAATGTAAGTAACCTAATTTATGTCCCTCTAACTGCCCTGAATGCCTCTGCTGATCCTACAGCTATTGTATGCAGTAATCAGGTGCCTATGAACAAGAGTTATACTTTCAGCACTGAGGCGGTGTGCCCTAGTAGGAAGTCCACTGTGTGCAGCTCACCCTGCACTAACATAAATAACATGATCATGTCTACCTCTGCTAAGCTTCCCAGTAAAGCAATGAAAACAATCAAGCATCCCAGAAAAGTGCTAAAAATAGCCCACGTCAACATATGTAGCTTAAGAAGCAAGGTTCATGAAATCAATAATTTGCTTGTAACAGATGACATTCATATTCTGACAATCTCTGAAACTCACTTAGATAATACCTTTGATGATACAGTGATAGCAATACATGGTTATAACATCTACAGAAAATACAGAAATGCCAATGTTGGAGGTGTTGCTGTTTATATTCAGAACCACCTTCCTGTAAAGCATAGAGAGGATCTCATGTTAAACACTGTTGAAGTAAAATGACTACAGGTTAATCTGCCCCACCTAAAGCCCAGTGTTGCTACAGACCACCAAGTGTTAACAGTCAGTATCTGGATAATATGTGTGAAATGCTTGATAATGTATGTGATATTAACAGAGAGGTATATTTTCTGGGTGATTTAAATATTGACTGGCTTTCATCAAGCTGCCCACTCAAGAGAAAGCTTCAAACTGTAACCAGTGCCTGCAACCTGGTTCAGGTTATCAGTCAACCTACCAGGGTAGTTACAAACAGCACAGGAATGAAATCATCAACATGTATTGATCACATCTTTACTAATGCTGCAGAAATGTGCTTTAAAGCAGTATCCAAATCCATTGGATGTAGTGATCACAATATAGTAGCCATATCCAGGAAAACCAAAGTTCCAAAGGCTGGGCCTAATATAGTGTATAAGAGGTCATACAATACATTTTGTAGGGATTCCTATGTTGTTGATGTAAAGAATACTTGTTGGTCTGTGGTTTGCAATGAGGAGCAACCAGACACAGCACTTGACACATTTATGAAACTGCTTATTCTAGTTACTAATAAGCATGCACCCATTAAGAAAATGACTGTAAAAACTGTTAAATCCCCATGGATTGATGAGGAATTGAAAAATTGTTTGGTTGAGAGGGATGAGGCAAAAGGAATGGCAAATAAGTCTGCCTGCACAACTGATTGGCAAACATACTGCAAATTGAGAAATCATGTGACTAAACTGAATTAAAGGAAGAAGAAACTATACTATATTTTGGAGCATCTTAAATGAAATTTTGGGCAAAAAGGCAAACTCAGCTCCATCATTCATTGAGTCAGATAGCTCATTCATCACAAAACCCACAGATATTGCCAATACCTTTAACCATTTCTTCAATAGGCAAGATTAGCAAACTTAGGCATGACATGCCAGCAACAAACGCTTACACTTCACATCCGAGTATAACTGATCAAATTATGAAAGACAAGCATTGTAATTTTGAATTCTGTAAAGTGAGTGTGGAAGAGGTGAAACAAGTATTGTTATCTATCAACAATAACAAGCCACCGGTGTCTGACGACTTGGATGGAAAATTACTGAGGATAATAGTGGACGATATTGCCACTCCTATTTGCCATATCGTCAATCTAAGCCTACTAGAAAGTGTGTGCACTCAGGCCTGGAGGGAAGCAAAAGTAATTCCGCTACCCAAGAATAGTAAAGCCCCCTTTACTGGCTCAAATAGCCGACTAATCAGCCTGTTACCCACCCTTTGTAAAGTTTTGGAAAAAATTGTGTTTGACCAGATACAATGTTATTTTACTGTAGACTTTCAGCACGCTTATAGGGAAGGACATTCAACAAGCACGGCACTTACACAAATGACTGATGATTGGCTGAGAGAAATTGATGATAAAAAGATTGTGGGAGCTGTTTTGTTCAACTTCGGTGCAGCTTTTGACATTATCGATCATAGTCTGCTGATGGAAAAACGTATGTGTTATGGCTTTACACCCCCTGCTATATTGTGGATAAAGAGTTACCTGTCTAACAGAACACAGAGGGTGTTATTTAATGGAAGCCTCGCCAACATAATCAAGGGCAGCTGTCTAGGCCCCTTACTTTTTTCAATCTTTAGTAATGACATGCCACTGGCTTTGAGTAAAGCCAGTGTGTCTATGTATGCGGATGACTCAACACTATACATTTCAGCTACTACAGTGACACTTAACAAAGAGCTGCAGTTAGTTTCAGAATGGGTGGCAAGGAATAAGTTAGTCCTAAATATTTCAAAAACTAAAAGCATTGTATTTGGGACAAATCATTCACTAAACCCTAAACCTCAACTAAATCTTGTAATAAATAATGTGGAAATTGAGCAAGTTGAGGTGACTAAACTGCTTGGAGTAACCCTGGATTGTAAAATGTCACGGTCAAAACATGTCGATACAACAGTAGTTAAGATTGGGAGAAGTCTGTGTTGACATGCTGAATGCACCGACGTGTCTGTTTAAACTACTAGCTCACAGCTCGGACACGCATGCATACCACACAAGACATCCCACCAAAGGTCTCGTCACAATCCCCAAGTCAAGAACAGACTATGGGAGGCGTACAGTACTACATAGGGCCATGGCTACATGGAACTCTATTCCACATCAGATTTTTTAAGAACAGATAATAATACACCTTATGGAACAGCTGGGACTGTGAAGAGACACACACACACAGGCACAGACACACATACACATGATAAGACACGCACTCTACACACATGTATACATGGATTTTGTATTGTAGATATGTGATAGTAGAGTAGTGGCCTGAGGGAACACACTTAATGTTTGTGAAAAGTGTTATGAAATGTAATGTCATGTAATATTTTAAATTGTATATAACTGCCATAATGTTGCTGGACCCCAGAAAGAGTAGCTGCTGCCTTGAGGATCCTTAATAAATAAAAATAAATAAGACCTCTGTTTTACCAACATCAAATTCGAATCCTTTCTCTACATAGGTGTGACAGCAGCCTCCTGACTGGTCATGCTGTTCCAGGACCAGGACCTTCTTCCCCACTTTGGCCAACGTGGCCGCCACCGTCAGGCCCCCAATGCCACTACCAATCACTATGGCATCCAGGTTCTGGGGCACTTTGTCAACTCTGAAACCTGGACAGAAAACCAAATTCAAGTTAATAATGTTGCTAAGTTAAAATGCTCTTTTACAATCAGATGTATTATGACATTTAGTAGGTCATTGAGATAACATACTCATTCAACCAGGCCATTTGCAGTATACAGTATCTCTCTCTGTCTATACCTCTCTCTACACTCTCAATCCTTATCTGAAAATGGCGGTACATGTTATCATAAAATGAGGTGAAAAGTGAAATTAAAAAGTGTACAGAGGTTGTCATACAATACCCATCTTCTTCTAACGGTCATAAACGTAAGGTATCTACATTTCATTTTCATTGGGGCATTCCTTGTCTTTGCTCCTATATGATTGTACATAAATGATATATCTTCTATCGCTCGGAGATGGATTAGAATGCTACCACAATCACAGAGCCATAATCAAATAATCAACCCAGAGCTTTACCTTACCTTGTTTGATCACTTTGTCCCTCTTCCTCTGGTCAAACTCCCGGGGTCCTGGAGGCCTCACTGACTCCAGAGAGAAAGGGCTTGGCTTGCCGAAAAGATACCAGTACGTCCCACCAGCCCATATCACCAACCAGGCTAAGAATATCAATAGCCACATGATGAAGACTGCACAGAGCAATCAAGCACTGAATTCCCTGTCTGTCAATAAGGCAGGAGGAAGGAGAGTTGACAGCAGAGAGTCTTGACGTTTCTGAAACACCTCTACCTTCTGCAGGCCCCTTTTATTGAGGGAAGTGCTAAACGTCTGAGGTGGAAAGTGATAAGCAAATTAGTTTGTGCAACACTCAATTATCTTGTTATGACTATGACTAACAATAAAGATAGAGATGTGAAAGACCCTGTGGTGCAGCAGTGTACCTCCACTGCCACGCCACCTCTCAACGCCAAGCCTAGCCAGCACCAGGAATGCTGACTAGGGTAACAAGCTCCAGTTGAACACTGTTCCCTTAAGTTTGTTTGCACCATGCTCCCGTCTCCTATGCCTTTACCTTTGATTCATTGCCTAGGCCCGACCCCCAGACAGTGTAAAACCCCTTGCACTGTCACAGACCCATTTTCCCTGTCTGTCTAAATAATGTGTCCTGCAGAGGGAATCTTTACTAAATAAAACTCTCCAAAACTCTCCTCCCTTTGAGAGAAAATGGAATCGCCTTGAAAATGAGAAAATAAACAAAATTTTGAATTAATTAAGAACAATTCCTGAAGTTGAATCAAAACAACTTTCAAGCAACTCAAAATATACATAAAATGATAGGGTAAGAACGGTTTCACAAGCAATTTGAAAATGAAGTGTATTAGCCATCTCAGTTTACAGCACCCAACATTAGCATACCAATGGTGAAGGTTCTATAGCCATTTTGTGAGAAACAAGGCAATGATTTTACTCATAGCACACACACATCTATACATTCAGATGGACTTAGCCATATGCACTATGCATAGGAAAACAAACTATTATTTGTGTCTTAACAGGAGCCAATACATTTTGTCTAGCACTCTGTATACTGTACATCAAAGAAAGCACATTCACAAAAGTAACCTATATAGCCATCACAAATGAATATAGTAACTACTGAGTTGCAAAGGAAGAAATTATTAAAGGCGTCAGCTTGGGTGGACAACATGTCAGTTCATGCTGCAAGAGCTCTGATAGGTTGGAGGACGTCCTCCGGAAGTTGTCATAATTACTGTGTAAGTCTATGGAAGGGAGTGAGAACCACAAGCCTCCTCTGTTTTGTATTGAAGTCAATGTACCCAGAAAAGTATGGAAAGGAGCTGTCCTCCGGCTACACAATGGTGCTACCCTACAGAGTGCTGCTGAGGCTACTGTAGACCTTCATTGCAAAACAGTGTGTTTTAATCAATTATTTGGTGACATGTGAATATATTTAGTATAGTTTTATCTAAAATTGTTAACTTTTTTAATGTTTCACTATATAAAAAAAAAGGACATTCACTGAGGAGGATGGTCCTCCCCTTCCTCCTCTGAGGAGCCTCCACTGGTTAAGTGATAATTTTGTGACGAATAAGTCCTATTAGTTGAATTAAGTAAATGCATTCCTCGTTTTACAGAGTAATTATTTGATTGACTATACGTTCATAATTTAGTAGGTCTATTGGTAACTGTTATTCACATTACACAAATCATATACAGTGGGGAAAAAAAGTATTTAGTCAGCCACCAATTGTGCAAGTTCTCCCACTTAAAAAGATAAGAGAGGCCTGTAATTTTTTAATCATAGGTACACGTCAACTATGACAGACAAATTGAGAAAAAAAATTCCAGAAAATCACATTGTAGGATTTGTAATGAATTTATTTGCAAATTATGGTGGAAAATAAGTATTTGGTCACCTACAAACAAGCAAGATTTCTGGCTCTCACAGACCTGTAACTTCTTCTTTAAGAGGCTCCTCTGTCCTCCACTCGTTACCTGTATTAATGGAACCTGTTTGAACTTGTTATCAGTATAAAAGACACCTGTCCACAACCTCAAACAGTCACACTCCAAACTCCACTATGGCCAAGACCAAAGAGCTGTCAAAGGACACCAGAAACAAAATTGTAGACCTGCACCAGGCTGGGAAGACTGAATCTGCAATAGATAAGCAGCTTGGTTTGAAGAAATCAACTGTGGGAGCAATTATTAGGAAATGGAAGACATACAAGACCACTAATAATCTCCCTCGATCTGGGGCTCCACGCAAGATCTCACCCCGTGGGGTCAAAATGATCACAAGAACGGTGAGCAAAAATCCCAGAACCACACGGGGGGACCTAGTGAATGACCTGCAGAGAGCTGGGACCAAAGTAACAAAGCCTACCATCAGTAACACACTACGCCGCCAGGGACTCAAATCCTGCAGTGCCAGACGTGTCCCCCTGCTTAAGCCAGTACATGTCCAGGCCCGTCTGAAGTTTGCTAGAGTGCATTTGGATGATCCAGAAGAGGATTGGGAGAATGTCATATGGTCAGATGAAACCAAAATAGAACTTTTTGGTAAAAACTCAACTCGTCGTGTTTGGAGGACAAAGAATGCTGAGTTGCATCCAAAGAACACCATACCTACTGTGAAGCATGGAGGTGGAAACATCATGCTTTGGGGCTGTTTTTCTGCAAAGGGACCAGGGCGACAGATCCGTGTAAAGGAAAGAATGAATGGGGCCATGTATCGTGAGATTTTGAGTGAAAACCTCCTTCCATCAGCAAGGGCATTGAAGATGAAACGTGGCTGGGTCTTTCAGCATGACAATGATCCCAAACACACCGCCCGGGCAACGAAGGAGTGGCTTCGTAAGAAGCATTTCAAGGTCCTGGAGTGGCCTAGCCAGTCTCCAGATCTCAACCCCATAGAAAATCTTTGGAGGGAGTTGAAAGTCCATGTTGCCCAGCGACAGCCCCAAAACATCACTGCTCTAGAGGAGATCTGCATGGAGGAATGGGCCAAAATACCAGCAACAGTGTGTGAAAACCTTGTGAAGACTTACAGAAAACGTTTGACCTGTGTCATTGCCAACAAAGGGTATATAACAAAGTATTGAGAAACTTTTGATATTGACCAAATACTTATTTTCCACCATAATTAGCAAATAAATTCATTAAAAATCCTACAATGTGATTTCAGGATTTTTTTCTCTCTCAATTTGTCTGTCATAGTTGACGTGTACCTATGATGAAAATTACAGGCCTCTCTCATCTTTTAAAGTGGGAGAACTTGCACAATTGGTGGCTGACTAAATAAAAATTTTCACCACTGTATGCTTAGCCTCTAACTGTGCAGCTCTGAGCGAAGGTTAACTCAATCACTTAATACCAGGACATTGATTGCAATATATTAGCACTTTGTCTCTCAGCCTCTTAATAATTGTATAACAGTTATCTTGGATACATGTAACTTATAGTATTCCGAGAGGTGATGCAAGGCTAGCTACCTTGACTACACCCATCGGATACGCCTATGGGCCTATAGCATTCACATAATAATGGAGTCAGATTGCTGAATGTAGTTTATTATTAAACACAATTTTAACCTCAACTACAGGTTCAAATGTGCTTGCATTTCAAAATGCTTATCTGCCCACTTGAAGAGAATAACAAGTTTGAATTGGTTTAGGGAGATAATGTTACGTTATCAGATGAGGTAATTAAGATAAGAGTAGACTTTAAGCACAAAGTATTCTGTTTTATTCATTTATAACAGCACTTCAGTTGTGAAAGCATTTCAGAAAAGATGAAGACTGGTTTGGTATTGCACAGTATCTATGATCACCTGTAACCCACATATTGTAAACTAATTAAATATAAGGCTGTAAGCTATTGTAACCGTATTAAATAAAACTTTGGCCCAATGACATAAGTACAATCCAAGAGGATCCTAGATTATAACATTTTATGGCAGTGCCTAATCCACAAGCTGCAAATAGGACACAATGGCCTCAACCACTCCCTCCAAAAGATAGGAAAACACAACATGACCCAACTCTCCAGCAGCATAAATTACAGATCATGTCCTCCTTCACTGTCAAACCTATGAACATCAAAGGCAAACGCTCAGAAGAACGATCACATCCCTGGGAATAAGCCTCACCCTCCCCAATTTACTCAAAACCCATCCAGAAAATCTGTAATTCAGTCAGCAATAATTTCCTTCCACCATCTATGTAGACTAGAGTGCAGAATCTGAATCTCCATACTCCGAGTCGATATTCACGTCATAAGAAGGAATTCCCACATCCACAAATTGGGGAAAACAAACATTCTTTCCCATTGACCGCCATACTAAAAGAGCTAACTTCATTGTCGATTTTTTGTTATACAGAAATAACAGAATCTGTTATGTACAGAGAGGGCAAAGTGTTGTAGACTTTACCCTTTGCCAAAGTTCCAAAAAAGTGTGTTGTTAAGAAGGAGTGCAAGGGCGAATTGAGTTATTGCACATGTGCGTTCCTAAATGGAAATTTGCAAATACATGCTAGAACGCACCAATAGGATCTTGCTAGCTCATGCTTTGCTCTACCCACGTCCTTGCCTGTTCTGCCCACTATGATTAATTTGCTCCCATTAGAAACACAGGCTGTGGCCGGGCTATTTTGGGTTAGTAAAAAAAAAAAAGGACTTGAGTCGCCATCACACTCAAGCCCGGTAGGTGGCGGTAATGCACCTAATATTGGTATGCACACCGCCATAACACCTCAATGAAGAAGAAGAAGAACAGTTTAATTGAGAACTTGTTAGAGTGCTCCTGTGTGTATCCGACCCACCTTTTTTTCTCTTAGAGATTATTCTGAACTGAGGTCTTAGCCTATTGGTGATAGTTATTTACTCTGTGTTATTCTTTAATGTATCATTATTTCATGTACACTGTAAATGTTTGAGTGTTAATTATTTTGTGACTAATCAATCCTATTAGTTGAATTGAGTAAATGCATTCCCAGTTTTACAGAGTAATTATTTGATTGACTATACGTTCGTAATTTAGCAGGTCTATTGATAACTGTTATTCACACTACACATATCATACAGTGCATTCAGAAAGTATTCAGACTCCTTGACTTTTTGTTACGTTACAGCCTTATTCTAAAATGGATGAAATCGTTTTTTCCCCTCATCAATCTACACACAATACCCCATAATGACATAGCAAAAACAGGTTTAGAAATTTTTGCAAATTAATTACAAATAAAATACTGAAATAAAACATTTACATAAGTATTCAGAACCTTTACTCAGTATTTTGTTGAAGCACCTTTGGCAGTGATTACAGCCCGAGTCTTCTTGGGTATGATGCTACATACTTGGCACACCTGTATTTGGGGAGTTTCTCCCATTCTCCTCTGCAGATCCTCTCAAGCTCTGTCAGGTTGGATGGGGAGCGTCACTGCACAGCTATTTTCAGGTCTCTCCAGAGATGTTCGATCGGGTTCAAGTCCGGGCTCTGGCTGGGCCACTCAAGGACATTCAGAGACTTGTCCTGAAGCCACTCCTGAGTTGTCTAGGTCGTGTGCTTAGGGTCGTTGTCCTGTTGGAAGGTGAACCTTCACCACAGTCTGAGGTCCTGAGCGCTCTGGAGCAGGTTTTCATCAAGGATCTCTCTGTACTTTGCTCCATTCATCTTTCCCTCGATTCTGACTAGTCTCCCAGTCCCTGCTGCTGAAAAACATCCCCACGTCATGATGCTGCCACCACCATGCTTCACCGTAGGGATGATAACAGGTTTCCTCCAGACGTGACGCTTCGCATTCAGGCCAAAGAGTTCAATCTTGGGCCTCCCGACTGGCACAGCAGTCTAAGGCATTGCATCACAGTGCTAGAGGCGTCTCTACAGATCCGGGTTTGATCCCAGGCTGTGTCGCAGCCGGCCGCAACCGGGAGACCCATGAGGCGGCGCACAATTGGCCCAGCATTGTCCGGGTTATGGGAGGGTTTGGCCGGCCGGGATGTCCTTGTCCCATTGTGCTCTAAGGACTCCTGTGGTGGGCCGGGCGCATGCACGCTGACATGGTCGCCAGTTGGACGGCATTTCCTCCGACACATTGGTGCGGCTGGCTTCCGGGTCACCCTCGGAGCACCGTTACCCGTCGCTCCACAAAAGCCGCGGCCCTTGCAGAGCAAGGGAAACAACTACTTCAATGTCTCAGATCGAGTGACGTCACCGATTGAAATGCTACTAGCGCGCACCGCTAACTAGCTAGCCATTTCACACTCACCCCCCTTTTGACCTCCTCCTTTTCCGCAGCAACCAGTGATCCGATCCGGGTCACGGCACCAATGTAACAGTGTTGCTTCCGTCCCTCTCCTCGCCCCTACCTGGGCTTGAACCAGGAACATCTGCACACATCGACAACAGTCACCCTCGAAGCACCGTTACCCGTCGCTCCACAAAAGCCGCGGCCCTTGCAGAGCAAGAGAAACAACTACTTCAATGTCACAGAGCGAGTGACGTCACCGATTGAAATGCTACTAGCGCGCACCGCTAACTAGCTAGCCATTTCACACCGGTTACACATACAAATATAGCCCTAACCGTTCAAATGCTGGAGCCCAGTTCATAGGGGGAAAAAATATTCAACCTGTCACATTGGCTTTAGAAACTACTCCGTTGGTATCACTAGCTTCTGTTTCCCAGTTCTCCTCTACCTTTATATTAATTAAATCTGAATGCATCTGAGAAGTTTAATCTATGAATATATACTTTGATAAACTTGAAATGATAGTTTGTAAACGTGATACAGACAATGAATGAAATACCTACCATATTGAAACTGAATATATACATGTTCAATTTGAACATTCAATAAAAACTTAAATATAATTTTAAGTGAATGCAATATTCGTTCAATTTATTAATTCAATTATTCAATTTAATGAAAAACAAATCATTAATTTAAATACAATTTCAATTCAGAATGAGTAAATTCTGATTCCATTTCTGGTGGCACTAAAATCACTCCATATTTGTCTTTGTTATTTATTGACGCCCACAAACCTCCACTTATCCAACTGATAAGAAAATGCAAAGTGCTGATAATCTATTCATGGACTTTGAAGTCCTAAATCAAGTAGATGTTGACTTTGAACTATACTATACATGTGTGATACAGAAATCGAACAACTACACATGACAATATGTTTTCATACAGTTTATTATGCTTTAAGACAAGCAAATACAGAAAGGATGAACATTCAAATGTTTTCAGCTACAGTTGTAGTCTGTAGCACCACCAAGGACCCTTCTCAGATAATGTAGGACATTTGGTCAGAATCTTTGACTGACCTATTTGGCTACTTGTACATTTTACCCCTTAAAAATGGCATTACAGTTTCAATACCTCTGGCTCAGAAAGTCTGATTCTTACGAGGTAAAGTTATCCTGGTTCAGTTGGGTCTCCCACAGTTTTCTAAGAGGGTCTACGTCATCAGAATTGTCATCCTTTCTGTATATTTGCTTGTCTTAAAGCATAACTGTATGAAAAGTAACTGAGTCCATCCATTCCATAGTCTAAGTGTTTGTTTGATAATCCACTCAGTTTTTGTTGAGAATTTCAGGATATTTGACCTAAATCTATTACTATTTCCATGATGGCCATTTTCACCAGATTTGAACTTTGTGCATCACCCCATCATTGTTTGATCTAGCAAAAACAACAAGCACCTTTCCCATGTTGGCTGGTCTGCTATAAGGCCTGTGTCTGCAGTGCAAGTACTAGAATACACTATGACCCACTGCCACACACTAACAGGGGATTCACAGCTTACAGTAAGCTGTGTGTTTTGTTTTGTTGCTGTTAAAGCAATTAGTCTGGTTTAGCTGAAGGTGCTCTCAGCTTCAGTAGCGCCAACCACTTGACCATTTACCCTTTTATATTATAACACTGACCTATAGGTTGACGTATAGGTTCAATGGTTGTGTTTTGGAGTATGATGCTGTGTATTTGTATTGTGATTTCCTATATTTTCAAGAGAGGTTCTCTAAACTCTGACTGGTGCATTCAAGGTTTTCATGTGATGAGCTGTACATGTCATTGTTTTAGACAAACTATCATTTAACGAGTGAAAAGGTGGACTTTCGCACCTTTTGCATCAGTTACCTAGTTTCCAAATTAGTTATACCAGACTTGTAAAGCCATCACAGCTTACATATGAGATATATATTTTTTTTTTTTACCAGTATGTGTACAGTTTTTCTAGAGGGTGAAATTTGGTCTAAGTGGATGGAAAGCTCAAAATGGAAGCCAGGGCTGAGGTACGGGTTATAAGCGATGTACTTGGAGGTTAGGAGGCAGCTGTAAAGTAGAGAGGCCCAGAAGGCCCCCTCCTTGTCCTGACTCATAAATCATATTATACATTACACTAAGAACTACTGAGATGACTTTTACAACTGTCAGGTATCACAGAAGAAGGTGAATGGCATGTTTAGTCCCTTGTTTCAGTAAGACGATACAGTTTCTCCATGGTGTGACTGTTGCTGTGAGATTCGATAGTCGCATCATGAAACTGTCCCGACTCCCGTAGACTGTTCAAGGTTAAATGTGGATACTATACTTTCCATATACCTACTATACATGTAAATTACTATACTTACTATACCCCAATATTTGTTATAGTTTCAATAAGCAGCAAGAAGACTAATCACAATATGTGCTTTTAATTTAGTAGAGGAAAGTGAATAACACCAAGATGAGCTAGGTAACAGCCTTACACAGCTAGATGTGTTTATTTACAATTTGACAGACACAATGATATCAACAGAAATATCCAGAGATGGTGAAAGGGGAAATATCTGGCTTCTTGTAACAATACAACATCACCACAAATGTAGCAGTTGTCCTTTTCTCTCTGAGATGTCTTTCTGTCTGTCCAAACATCAATCTAAAAGATCAGATTACATTTTTGTTTGAATGCACTCCACTGTCTCTCATTAAATCAAAATGTGTGGCTTCTTTTCCCTGGGTTTGTGTATTCTAGGTTATAATGCAACCTCCCTTGTCTCCCTTGTAGGGGTTCTTGTCATCTGACACGCCCTTTAGGAGTGGGTCACCCTCCGTTTGGGCCTCCACCCATTCCATTGTCTCCTTGCAATTCACTGACACCTGGTGATGTGAAGAAGAGCAGAAGAATGAGCATACTATTCTCATGCAAGAGAATACTCCACGATTTCTTTGCTTGTTTTGTGGAAAAATGCCTTTGTTCCTTTCAGTTACATGAAAAATGTAATGTTCACATTCATCTGCAGTACAACAGGAAATACAAATGCAGATTGTGTGCAGTGAAATATTATTCTAACTGTACATTCTTTCACTTCTTGTAACCATCTTTCTATGAAGATTATATTGATTTATCTCTATCTAAATCAAATATAACACTATTACAACTACATCTAATTCTCTGCCATCTTTCATGATACATGTTCTATGATTTGGTAACATTTCACCTCAGATATGATGTAATATTGTAAAGAGATACTCACAGCTGTGCGTGTAGTGCTAACTTCAATCTTTAGCTGAGCCAGCTCCATTTGCAGGATTTCCTTATCAGACATATCGCGAGCCATCTTGCCTTTGAAAGAAAAATGAACCCAGAAAAGGGTTAGTAGGAAAACAGGAATAGATTATGTGGTATTTAGACAGCTAGAGCATCACTGGCAGACAAGTAATGTAGACTAATCAAGTAATGTAGTCATCAATTCAAGTTACTCTTTTCTTTCTCAAGGAATGTCATTCCCACATCCTCAACATGTCCAATCCATATCCTTTTGTTTCTATTGTTGCTCTAATTATTGCACATTCATTTGATAAAAGTATTTATCTAACCAAAACGGACTACATCAACTCTTTACAAACAATGTAAATAAGAAATAAAAGGAATACACAATAATTAAAGTAACCCATCTCTTACCTGTTGAATGGTGGGGTATCCAACAGAGAGAGAAGTCTTAGCTCCTAGGGGCTTGGCTATTGTGAGCTGCTTTCTGATAGACAGTAACTGCACTGACTGACTTACTGATGGGTCTCCGCCTCAACCCTCTTCAGCTGCCAGGCTGATCCAGGTAGGCTTTGCTTTGGGGAGAGGTCGGTACAGGATTGTCACCAATCGTCTATGATCTAATTAAACGATCAAGGGGCCGTAAACCTCAGAATCCTCAACCCTAGCACCCTGAGCAGAATGAGGGGTGAGGGGAACACACATAAACCCAATGTGTATGTACCATTTTAGAGGATGCGGACACTGAGTGGGTGGTATTGTGTCATAACAAGCAATTGAGTCCTGTGTAGTTCAGGGGGGCGTCACACAGTACATAGGCTATCATGTGCTGTATCATGTAGAATGCATGCATGTACAAAAACGGTATATAAACTGTACATAACATGTATGCAACAATGTGTGTATATATACTGTACATATATCATTTCATACAAAATATAATGTTATCAGATTAATTCTAATTCAGCAAACCCAACATTTCAAATATGGTCTTACAATACATAGGCTATAGCGTAAAGAATAATACATTTTTGTCTGTTTTCACAGGGAAATGGAAAGGAAGTACCATAGAGCAGGTCAACAATGACAATAGCTGGCAGTCCCTGCGTCATTAGCCTCACTTAATGCCAAAGGCCCTTGGCATGCCGCACATGGAGGTGAGCCCATGATTACACCAATTAGAGTACACTACAGGCTACATGAGGAGGATCTGATCTCATACACTATCCAATCCTTTCCCCGCATCTTTCTAACGTCATTCCAACCAAATGACATCAGATCCCCCTGATGTAGCCTATAGTCTGCTCTAATTAGTGTAATTATGGGCCCACCTCCATGTAGTCAAATTCCAATCAACTGTCATACTGTTATGCAACAAGTATTGATAATACTGTTTCCAGGGGTGAAATAAGCCGGTCCGGTATGGCATCCCGGCGAAACAAATAGTGGAGGTACGCCACTATCGCAATAACAAAATGTCAAACTGTAGGCTATTACACCATTTAACATTACCGCATTTCAGAGGCGTAGCGAATGGACTTAAACAGGTGGTATACACTCCAAAATGATGTGGTTAGACGAGAACACTGACATTTTGCCAAGGCAGAGATGAGTGGCTGACACTGAGACGCGGCGCGCGGACAGCAGTGGATGCATAAATTGTGCCCTAATAACAATCGCTGAATGTCATTACACTTTTTGGTGTGTTGTGTAGCAGATGTCTCTTTCCATTCACCACTGTTTGGAGGCTGGATATATGTTGTGAGTGGATGAACGTGCACGGGTAGCCTAGTAAAGGAGCCCTTTGAATTGATTGTTTGGCAATCAGATGACATCATGACTGGTTGTGTTTATGCCACAATAAAAGGTAATACATTGTAAAACGTAAATGACAAATCTTTACGACCAGGCCCACAGAGATCCTATTGAATAAAATATATATATATATACAGTGAGGGAAAAAAGTATTTGATCCCCTGCTGATTGTGTATGTTTGCCCACTGACAAAGACATGATCAGTCTATAATTTTAATGGTAGGTTTATTTGAACAGTGAGAGACAGAATAACAACAACAAAAATCCAGAAAAACGCATGTCAAAAATGTTATAAATTGATTTGCATTTTAATGAGGGAAATAAGTATTTGACCCCTCTGCAAAACATGACTTAGTACTTGGTGGAAAAACCCTTGTTGGCAATCACAGAGGTCAGACGTTTCTTGTAGTTAGCCACCAGGTTTGCACACATCTCAGGAGGAATTTTGTCCCACTCCTCTTTGCAGATCTTCTCCAAGTCATTAAAGGTTTCGAGGCTGACGTTTGGCAACTCGAACCTTCAGCTCCCTCCACAGATTTTCTATGGGATTAAGGTCTGGAGACTGGCTAGGCCACTCCAGGACCTTAATGTGCTTCTTCTTGAGCCACTCCTTTGTTGCCTTGGCCGTGTGTTTTGGGTCATTGTCATGCTGGAATACCCATCCACGGCCCATTTTCAATGCCCTGGCTGAGGGAAGGAGGTTCTCACCCAACATTTGACAGTACATGGCCCCGTCCATCGTCCCTTTGATGCGGTGAAGTTGTCCTGTCCCCTTAGCAGAAAAACACCCCCTTAGCATAATGTTTCCACCTCCATGTTTGACGGTGGGGATGGTGTTCTTGGGGTCATAGGCAGCATTCCTCCTCCTCCAAACACGGCGAGTTGAGTTGATGCCAAAGAGCTCGATTTTGGTCTCATCTGACCACAACACTTTCACCCAGTTCTCCTCTGAATCATTCAGATGTTCATTGGCAAACTTCAGACGGGCCTGTATATGTGCTTTCTTGAGCAGGGGGACCTTGCGGGCGCTGCAGGATTTCAGTCCTTCACAGCGTAGTGTGTTACCAATTGTTTTCTTGGTGACTATGGTCCCAGCTGCCTTGAGACTATTGACAAGATCCTCCCGTGTAGTTCTGGGCTGATTCCTCACCGTTCTCATGATCATTGCAACTCCACGAGGTGAGATCTTGCATGGAGCCCCAGGCCGAGGGAGATTGACAGTTATTTTGTGTTTCTTCCATTTGCGAATAATCGCACCAACTGTTGTCACCTTCTCACCAAGCTGCTTGGCGATGGTCTTGTAGCCCATTCCAGCCTTGTGTAGGTCTACAATCTTGTCCCTGACATCCTTGGAGAGCTCTTTGGTCTTGGCCATGGTGGAGAGTTTGTAATCTGATTGATTGATTGCTTCTGTGGACAGGTGTCTTTTATACAGGTAACAAGCTGAGATTAGGAGCACTCCCTTTAAGAGTGTTCTGCTAATCTCAGCTCGTTACCTGTATAAAAGACACCTGGGAGCCAGAAATCTTTCTGATTGAGAGGGGGTCAAATACTTATTTCCCTCATTAAAATGCAAATCAATTTATAACAATTTTGACATGCGTTTTTCTGGATTTTTATTTTGTTATTCTGTCTCTCACTGTTCAAATAAACCTACCATTAAATTATAGACTGATCATTTCTTTGTCAGTGGGCAAACGTACAAAATCAGCAGGGGATCAAATACTTTTTTCCCTCACTGTATATATATATATATATATACTTTGTTGTTCGGCCACTGATCCCTGGATAAGCCTTTACTGGCACTCGTTTCACCCATATGCCATTTCAGGATCTGGGTTAGTCTCATCCCCCCACCATAGATTAGGCAGTGAGACCGACGTCACTCTGGATTTACTGTACCACAGGTGGGTTTGTCTTTCACAGACATTCACCTGATAAGCCACATGGTAAGAGTTGACCAATGGTCAGAACCTGTGATGAGGCAAAAGATAGGCCTAGCACTTATTAAATAACCACCGTTACTGTAAATTCAACATTAGATAGGACTGTGCTGCAGTGCCAGTTCTGAATTGGACTGTGTATTCCATTGTGCAGAGGAAGAATGTCTCTCTTAACCTAACAGATGAACAAATAAAGTACTATATATTCTATTCATATGGATTACTCCGAATTACTCTTCCACACTGTGTGAAATGCAATAAAGTATTTTGTTGCATCAAATGCAGCAGAGCCACAGCACATTATAATGCTTCCCCTCAAGGATATTACTACCATAAGGCAATTAAGACTATCTACATTGGCTGTAATTTAGTCACCTCTCATCTTAATTGGTTAATAAAGTTAGGGATTCAACTCTATCGTTTCGCCGGTGGTAGTGAAATCAGGTTGATTTGGGAATATTTGGTCAGAAGTGTATTCTGGATACCCTCTCCTGCTGTTGTGTCCTTGAGCAGGGCACTTAACCCTTAATCTGCTCCAGGGGAACTGTGCCAAGGCTGACCCATGGGTTGTAGTTATTAGTGCACACCGTAGCAAAACGTTTTGCCACGTGAACCGTTTAATATGACAAACGGTTTCCGTTGCAAAACGCTTTGCTACAGTTTGCTTTAGTGTGCACTACTGAATACAACCCTGGCCTCCAGGGGCCCTCTGTTTTCTTCAGGTAGATCCTTCTAGAACTTTGAATAGAACCATGATATTGGTTGCATGTTAACTGCTGCTCCAATTTCCGCAACAACTAAGAGCATTGAACAATGATGTATATAAACCCTGGATTGCTGATGCTATGTATTGGCCAATGAGAGGCTTTGAAGCCACCGGTTGGCCAAATTGGACTCCCCAGTAGGAGCAGTCAATATATATATATATATATATATATATATATATATATATCTGACTCATCATCTTTATATCTGTGTCATTATAGCGTCTGTGACAGCATGGGCAGCACCATTGAGGCTACAACCCATAGGAATCCCCACGCAGTTGACTACTTTGACTACTTTAAAATGGTGGAAGCATGGTGGAATCCCTCAATGGCGCTGCCCATGCTAACATATAATTTTGGCCACTAGAGGACCTCCATACGAATAAATGGAATTCTACAGTATATCAATTAATTAAACGTTTCAAAGACAATTACAGGTGTTATTTAGGGGGTAGATCAGCTTTTAATATTGCAGATTGTGGCTTCCATCAATGTAATAGTCTGCATCATTTCCAATCCCCCATAGGTGTTCTAAAACTTTTGAC